GTTCCCTGCAGTGAAACCCTACATGACCATAACTCACCTTCCCGAAAACCATTACTGCCGTAAACTATCCTGAGGGTCGCCCGCGTAAACCAAGAAAACGAATGAAAGTTAATGAGGCAAAATGAATGTATGAACATTGTGAATGAGGCCTACTATAACTAACAACTGAAAAATTTAACTGAAGTCTTTCTCTGCCTACCCCATAAAGGATAAGTAAAGCTATAGTACTTACTAATGCATAGCCGTTTTCTTAAAAAATGTTACTGCTTACAACAACTAGTTTTAGGTCATTTTATATGGAATTTTAATGAAATCTTTACTAATCTAAGTGCATTTTATAAGTTGGTCGCCTGTTGCTAGTTAACTTGTTAAACCTATTTAGCTGTTACAGTTTTCCTTCTTACTTCATTATGATTGTATACATCATACTTTTTACATTTGCAAAAATATGGGTTTCGCTGGTAGAAGCAGGACATATGACTTTAATGAAAAATACCACTTTAAAGCTAATTATTTCCCAAATAAACCGCTGAATTGATAAAATGTTGTGCCATAACCGCAATATTTTTAAAAGACCAATCCAACGACTTTGACACACGGTGGAATAAACAGGTAACAATAATCATAACGAGTGTACATGTTTACCCCAATAATGTGTACAGGTACACAAATACTAATACCAAATATAATTGTTTTTCAAAAAAGAAAGCTAACTTGCCATCTTCTTTTTATCTATATATATCTATATATACTACCTGGTCCACGGCGCGTCGTTGCTGCAAAAGAAAGTATTGCAAAAATCCGTCTAAATATGGAAGAGTTATAGCTGTATTCCTTAATTAGGAAATACAATATTTTCATTGAAGTTGAATGATATGAAACTTTCAAATAAAGGAGACGGTCCATTTCAGACCCAGTCTATGTACACTATACCGTAAAAAGCGAAAAATTCAGAGATTTTATTAAAAATACAATAAGAAAATTAATCCAACTAAATGACTTGCTAAAAATAAAAATGCAATCCTCATTTTTGATGATTTTTCAAGACGGTGCCCTTCCTCTCTCATAAAATTATATGTTAAATGTCGTCTGACATGTGACTTAAGTCTTGAAATAATGTAGGTAGTCCGATATTTTTTGTTTATTCCGAGCTTGTTCGTGTATTTGTGAACTCGTGAATTTGTTTGCGAATGTTTTTTTTATTTGGACTTTGGATCTGTTACTACTTGTTCAACTCTGCTTTTGTTTTAAGGGATTCAAGATTTACATGAGATTTTGATTTCCTTGATATCGGACATCTGTAGAATTACATTTTAAATCACTGGGCAGGTATGTAAAAAATTATGTTTCTTTAAGTAATTAAACTCATTTGAATAATATGCTATTGTGTGTAATCCGTTAACAATCAAAAAAATAAATAATTAATTTCTCCATAAGTAATAATGGCTGCATATTATTAATATAATGTAATTATCTTTGAGTTCACATGTTAAAACATGTTGCACTGTTTAAAATGTGCTTCTGCAATAGAAGAAAATGAGCAATATTACATTGCTGGGGATTTGGGCTCAGAAATTATTACCATTCTTGAAAATCAAGGTTAATTGGTAAGAACGCACACACTTTAATCATTACAGTTAACTGGCAATATCCAGTCCAACGGATATGTCAGTTTTTATATATTTCAGTATTTAATTATGATTGTTTTCTTTTAGATGGATGAGAATGAACCATCATGTTCACAATGTTTTGCAAACGTATTGCAAGAATTATCTGTCGGTACAGATCATGAAAATGGTCTTCAGTTCCTTAATGACAATAGTACCAGTATATTGTGTGTTTGGTGTCAACGGAGACTGGGTAGCGGACGTTGTCACTCTGTTTCAGAAGGTCCTGAAAGATATTTTTTGTCTGAGATGATTTTTCCAAGACAAGTTAGTTTTTACGTTTATTTAAAGGTTTAATAATCTAAATATTAATTATTCCAGAAGTAAAAAAAGTATCAAATGTTTATTTTATTTTATGTTGAATTAGGGTTATAAACGGGCACACAGTCGACCGAATGGTAAATGGATGCTGTGGCCTATAAACATCTACACTCATTTTTGACCAATAATCAAAATGCAGATGCGTTGCGTAAAAATGGTCTCCGGTTCTCTACACTCACTATACGAAACACAGCAGCTTAAAGCTGCCATTTCACGCTGGTATTCTGTGAGAGCGTGGCATTCCCCGGTCGAGCCGACCCATTATTTGCTGCTCGTGGCTCTTTTCCCCAGGATAAGGGTGACAAACGAGCACACAATCCACCTGATCGTAAGTGGTTTCTGTGGCCCGTAGACATCTGGGCACATCTATCCTTCATTACAAATTGAAATGCAGATGCGTTTTCACCCGTTAGGACTAAGACGGAATACGTCGTTTCCACTGAAAGGTGTCTCTGTTTTCATTAGTCAGCATTAAGCTACTATTTAACACTGGTGTTCTGTGAGAGCGTGGTCCTTCCCCAATCAAGCCGACCCATTCGTGCTACAAATTAATATACCTACTACTTATATAGCTACAGCTTGGCATTACGTGGTATGATAGGTATTATATTGTTATAGATACCTGAAAGTGCAGTGGTATGTCATCTTTGTTAGACAGAAACTCAATAAACATTACGTAGACAAGGAGTTTCATATCGTCGACCTAATTATCAAAATTCGTAAGTCCGAATGAGATAATTTTACAGGAGCAACGAAAAACCGTTTTTTGTTTTTATATTAAGATATTTTTATAAAGTCGCTGTTACTTTGAGTTCAAAATGAGTGTAGATTCATTTTTTACTAAGAATATTATTGATTTTGCAGGTAGTTTATAAAATAATGGACTTACGAGTTTTAATTTTTATTCAAGTTGGACTTACGACTTTTTCTAGGATATACGCAGTTTTACGTTTACATTTTTATCAGTTTTTATACAATGCAGATGACTTACGCAGTTTTATTATTCCATTTTTATATAGGGGGGATTAACGAAAAAATAATGCTCTCTTAGAATCACCTTTGTTTTTTATTAATCAAATAACATAATAGGAACTTCTTTAAAAAAACTCTTGTAACATAAAAATCAATAACTTTCATCAGTCTCTAATGTCTTAAAAATAAAATTACTTTTAACAATAATTGTTCACTCTTTGGAATGGGTAAAGTAAATAAAACTGGTAAGGTACATTAAACAATACTTGGTACTAATCAGATAAATGTAGGAAGGCCTTAGTGGGGTAGGTTATCATAACTTTTATAATCTTAGTAGGTACCTACCTACCACATCATTAGTTTAACTAGTTAGGTATGTGGTAGGTTATCATAAAAGTTATGATAATCTTTCTCCATGGTATGCTTGAGGTTCTGAAGATCCTGATACTTCTCTTTTTTAATCTTCAGCCTTGCCGAATAAAGCTGAGGAACAGTATCCCATGGAATGAAACTGATTGTTTTAGTTCTTGTTGGGAGCCCTTCCCAATCAGTAGCTGAATGTCTCAACTTGAACTCAATTCTTCCATCTGGAGTGTACTTGAGAGCCCTTATGTTTGTGACTGTAGGGTCACCTGTTCTTTTTCCAGGTCTGATTGATTTGTAGAACTTCAAAGTATGTTCAACATCTTTAAAGAAGTGGTGATAGAGATACTGTACGTCATAGGGATTTTTCTTGCAAGCAGTTTTGGCTATGTAAACATAGTCGGCCGGAATATTTATCTTTTTATTTTTTAACGCTCTTTCTATGACCGAGTGCATACTATCGCACTCCATTTGCGTATGCCCTTTTTCGAGGTACTTCTGTTTGATGGTTACTTTCTTTTCCATGCTGTAATTCAGTAGAGCATTCGATAGTACCACATTTCGGTTCTGGTAGGTACAACCGTCACTGTAGATAATTATTTCCTTGTTATGTTGCGTTGTGTTTTGTGTCCTGAACTTTTCGAGAGCTGTCACGATTATAGTCGAAAATTCATTGCTCGTCAGTTTTCCTTCGCATTCGTTCCAAATATAACAGTAGCCCAAATTTCTTTTACAATCGTAAAGTGTGAAATTATGCACAATGAGTTTGGTCTTATAGTAGAGTGCCGAAACATTCGAACGTGGGCTTAAAAGCACCGATTGTAAATCCATGGTAAGGACTTCGTGTTCCGTGGAAATGTCCTTAGCGAGTTCTTTTCGAGCCTCGTCTTTCTTATCACGATGAGTCTTATAGTCAATATCTGAAACATTACCAGCTTTGTAAGACTCACAAATATCACACAAGTCCTTTTTTGGGCTAAATAAAGACAAATTGAGTGCTTCAAACATGTTGAAAAAGGTGGTAATGCTTAATGGCTCAAGGTTTCCTCTGACACAGAAGTCTTTTCTGTAACTTTCATAGAGCTGAGATTTTGATGTCCAGATTGGTTCAAGATACAACTTTGATGAGTCTTTTCGGCAGTAGTGTGATTCAAGTTTTAGCATGGAATCAAAAAACTTGCGTAACTGGCTTTTAGCTTCCACTCTAGTATTATTTTTCGGTGCATCTTTGGGATCATCTTCATTAATAATCCACTTCTTTATCACCCATTCCCCAACACCTAAACTGTTAAGAAACATGGTTTTGCAGACTCGAAATCGAATCCCCGTACTATCAGTTAAATATAACTCTACAGAGTTTTTCCGCCTAGATGATGTACCAGCACACCTCTCTCTTTCTTTTTTCTTAGAAATCGAAGACATTTTAATAAACACCTTCTTTTCCTTCCAACTTATTTTCCAAAACTTCTCAAACATTTTTTTTCTTTCTTCTTCTGGTATTTTATCACAGTGCATCTTGGTATACCTTTCAAGCTTAATTTGCATTGCATCCACTTTTCATCTCTCGCGGGCTTAGGTTCAATAAAGCCCCATTTATTTCCTCTCTTCTTCTTTCCTAAATAAGCCTTACCTTTTTCTCTTTGTTCCTTGTTTTTATTTGCGTCCCATTGGTGGGGTTCACTTTTCTTTTGACGAGGTGGTGATAGCCTGCTCAACTGTTTCTGATGACGTTAGATCCGAATCTAATGGAACAGAGCTGATGCTTTTTAAAGAATCTTGGCTCGTGGATCTTCGGCAGATAGATCTATCATTATTAATTAAGATGTTAAAGGGGCAGTCCCTCAATACTTTATAATTATCTGTTAGTACCACGGAGCATCCTGGTTTAGTGTGTTCTTCTGATAACCTCGGCGTAGAAATATCTACAGGTTCAACCGTTTGTATAGGATTCAGAGTAACACATTCAGTTATTGACGACTGTAGATCTGAATCTAATACAACAGGAATGCTACTTGCAGAATCTCTGTTTGTGTATCCTTGATGAGATCCATCATTTCTAATCATGAGCTGCGGCTGATCTTCCAATACTATTGAATTGTCACACTGTAGTACCACGTAGCATCCTGGTTCGATGCTCAGTTTTTCGGGCGGAATATTCCGGAGTATTTTTGCGGCGCGTGAATTTTGCAACATCATGTAGGTATGTATTTAACTAAAACAACGAAAATAATGCTTAGAGTTAGACAAAGTAAAAAACAAATTACTATTCAATAAATTCAAAGTTCGTATCTCTATGGCAAACAGTCACAACGCAAAGCTAAGCAAACAATCAAACTTTTAACAATTTTTAACAATTAACTTAGTTACTTAACTTAGACTGCTCCGTGGCGCAGTGGCTTAGCAATCAGTTACAGCGCTAAGGGCCGCGGATTCGAATCCCGCACGAAACAAGAATTTGTATGGCCTAGGTACAAATAATTGTTCCGGGTCTGGATGTTTGTCCTTGTGAAATTTATGTTTGTAAACTGCCCCCACGATACAGGAGAAAATACTAGTGTGGAGGTAACGTTTAAAAAAAAACTCCATCCCATAACAAAATAACTAATTTCGCTTATTAATTGCAAATTTTAATAGCTAGATCAAATAATAACATGAAACAAACTCACCTTCTACTCTATTCTATCTAAATAATCACATTTATCACAATATTTGTCTAAAAAGTTAACCGACGACGTGACGTCCACACCTCGGGAGCTCTCAAGCCGCACTAAACGCGGGAGTTACGAATATTGCAAACAACAAAATGGCGTCGTGGAGTTACGTATTTTTATAAATGTCGAATAACTTTGTAAACAACTTTCCTCGGGAGATACGAAGTAAACTATTAGATGCGTTTTAAGATTTACCGATAGATGACATTAAAACAAAAAATAAACATATTTTGGAGTTACGCATTCTTATAATTAGGCCAACGATATATACCATCACCTAATACAATTGTATGTGTATGTTGTCTTCGGTGACTAGCCAACACACGCAGGCACTCAATACCAGATGGCCCAGAACGAAATGAAATTATAGCTAGGATCCATCCTTGAGAGGTAATATTTTATGTATTTTCTAAGTCTATAATGCGTTTTTTATTAATCTAACAGTATTATAAAACTTACTGCATTGTTTTGAACAGATATTTGAAATACTTTTCTGGTTTGAATTATTTGACAAATAAAAGTATGAAAATATAAATTACTAGCTTTTGCCCGTGACTTTCTCCGTGTCTAATTTGATTTCAAAATCGCTCGGGATCTCTGTAATTTTCCAGGATAGAAAGTCGCCTATAGGTCCTCAACTATGCCCATGCAAAAAATCACTATGAACCCAAAGCACTTCTACAGCATGCTTGAATGACAAACAACAAACACATTTTCGCATTTATAATATTAATAAGGATATAATACAAACCTAATATTTAAAAAAATAATGAAGATGTAAAACATATTTATTTATTATTGGTGCCACAGAAAAACTAATATACTAAAGTAACATTAATCGAAATAATTAAAACCTTGCATAATATATTAAAATTAGGTCACCTACGATTAAACCTATGTTTGAAATTAAAATACAAAGTAATGAATGCTGTAATATGCATTTATGTATAATTAATCATCTAAAATATTCGTTATAACCCCCTACAGATTCCTCCTGGCGGATTCGTCTGTTATATGCTGTGTTTCAGCGTGTAGAAATGTGCAAAGAGCTGCTAATGTTGAGGAACGGCCGCAAAATGCAGGACCTTCATATCAAAGTTATGGAGCTGACTGTGTGTGATGTAAAATGTCTTTATTTCAAAGGCACGTTCGAATTTTACATGATGTCCCTGAAAGGTATATAGTGGCACAAAGGATTTATCATATTGAGGTAATTAAATATGGTGTTTTCTAGATTTTATACAAACATTCTAATAATTATTTTACTTGAACACTCATTGGTTCACATTTTTATTGTACATTATTAACTATCGCCGTTTATGAGTCAGAATGGGGGTAATTTTTTTCTTTTGGTCAGTGTGTTTTTGGCCCTCAGTATGAGCGGCCTTTCAATTATAGACATGTGACTTTGGCGGGAACAACGTGGGCCTATAATATAATAAATTATTTGTGCAATTATTTTATAGTTACTGTTATAATGTTGTTATGTGTTTTGTTTTTGTGAATATGGAGTGTTTGTGGGCTGGATTGTTAGAGTTTTGTTTTGGTTAATCCGACGTGATGTTATATGAATGTAGCGGCTATGATTAGGACACAAGCGAGTACTCTGAGGACTCGACGGCGTATGAGTTTCAGTTTATACAAAGTACTCTGTGCGTATGACGACGCGCCGGCTGCAACCAAAAGTTTTGGGTCGAGGAGGAATATCAACAGAGATGAAAATGTACAGTGAGAATTGGAAGGCGATCGCGGCCCAATTCTCTGACCGATCCGACGTCCAATGCCAGCAGAGGTGGACGAAGGTCGTTAATCCCGAACTAGTCAAAGGGTCTCGGACCAAGGAGGAAGACGAAAAAGCTTCTTAACTTCTGCCTGTTCTTTCTCAATATCCCCAAACCTGTTATTTATGAAATTCATGGACTCATTAATTTCTTTCACCTCTTTTTTGATAGGTGTAAATACTTTGTTAATAATTTCTATTATACTATTATTAATTTCCTTTAGTATACCACTTAATTCGGTTCTTATAACATCTTGAACGATAATTTTTACATCCGCGCCAGTTAAAGCTGTCATATTTGGCGGTGAATTTAATGCAGGTCTTTTAGTGCCTCTGCCGGTATTGATGTTACGCAATGGAGTTAAATCTTGTTTTGAACATCTGGGAGCATTGTTTGTACATTGGAGGCAATTCCAATTTGATAACACTGCAGTTTAATTGATCCCCGGCATGGACAGACAAGCTAAATGAAATGATTTGTTCCATGTAAAATAATTGATTTGTTTCGTGGTCACTTGGAAGAGAAGGCCAAATTGGCCTCTAAAAAGCTTGGCGTGCTCAGCAGAGCGGGACAGTATTTCATGCCGGCACACCGCCTGCGACTTTACAAGGCGCAGGTTCGGCCGCACATGGAATACTGTTCCCATCTCTGTGCTGGGGCTCCTCAGTACCAGCTCCTTCCACTTGGCCGCATCCAGCGCAGAGCGGCTCGAATCGTCGACGACCGAATGCTTTCCGATCGGCTCGATTCACTGGCACTGCGAAGAGATGTTGCATCTCTTTGCATTTTATTTCGCATATACCATGGAGAGTGCTCTGAGGAATTGTTCGGATTAATACCAGCCGCCAAATTTCGTGAACGCACTACGCGGCAAACGTCCCGATACCACCCACACCATCTGGATGCTTGGCGGTCCACCACAGTACGTTTCAAAAGGAGTTTTCTTCCGCGTACAACCTTTCTGTCGATTAGTTTACCACCGGCGATTTTTCCGGACCGATACGACCTGGGGACCTTCAAGAAAAGAGCTTACTCCTTTCTAAAGGGCCGGCAACACAGCTGCAGTTCCCCTGGTGTTGCGGTTGATCATGGCGGCGGTAGTCACTTAACATCAGGTGAGCCGCATGCTCGTTTTCCCCCTCTTCTATAAAAAAAAACCCATAAAATTAATAATCTCCTCATTCTGTCCGGTCTCAATCTCAATCTCAACATTAATTTTGATTATTTTATTAATCTTAATTAATTTATTTAATTAATCCCCATTTACCCATCTTGCAAACTTTGTTTATATATATATATATATATATATATATATATATATATATATATATATATATATATATATATATATATATATATATATATATGTGGTAATGTGCAAGTATGTATAACTTTACAATTTTCTATTCGTATGATGAATGTATTTATTCCATTAAATTTTAGCTCCTTTTTGCACTAAGTAAAATCCCCGCAGAATGATATATTTATTACGAAAAGTTACTATTCTTTTAAAAATCCACAAAAATTGCAATTTGTTGCGGCTCGAACCAGCTTTCTCGGACGTTGTGTGTCATTTACTAGAACCACAAAGCTAGCATACTTAATTCTTATACGTTGAAATTAGTAGTCAATTTGTTTATTTTTTAATTTTATTCTTGTGGGGGTCATGTGAGTTTATAATTCTGTAAGTACCTTCATCACTAAAAATGTATTTCGGATCACTTTAATTTTAAATACCACGCTATAACGATACACTGTAGCAGATGTAAACATAACAGCTTTGTAGACAGTGTACTTATGTATCCGTTAACACCATTACTTTGTTATTAAATGTCTTTTACAATTAAAAAACTTTAAATTAATGAGAGCGATATGACAACTCGTCAACCCGCGACACACACTTTGACATATTGATTTGAACAGTGATGTAGGTTATAAAATATAATCAATAGTCGCAAGAAATAAAACTTCAAACAAATTAGAAATTCTATGCGTACGAAGTCACGGGCACAGCTAGTATTGTAATAAAAATTAATTGGTCATAATATGCACGAAACTCTAATACAGCTAGGCCCGACTCGCAATTGACCGTTTCCACTGACATCACTCTAAGAGTTTGTTAACACGAGTTTTATGTTAGAAAATTATTTCTAAGGTTTCAAGTTTACTTTATCTGTGGCAATATGCATTTTAAATCCAACTGGAGCTAATAATTATTTAACATGGCTTACAATGACTACATGCTTAGTACGTGTATCCACTTTTATATACACCTGACTTTACTCCTTTACTGGCGACCTTTTACCTTTGGTTCGCCTACTTATTATGTACCAGTTAATTTATGTAAATAATAAGTTCAAAATGGATAATACATATTTTAGCAAATGTATAGTTTTATTATAATAGGTATAACTAGACAAAAAATGATTAGTATTTTATAACTTATATATTTGATTTATCAATTACGTTTAGTCGTTTGAGCTTTCACTTCTAAGAAAAAGCAAGAACAATAATTGCTCTAAATTATATATTCGATATTTCAAAACTTTAAAACGAAAGTTTAAAACTTTGAATTTAATAAACGTAATGGCACAGTCTTAATCTTTATATCTATGGTCTATACATATACATTTTTAAATAATTTTGTTAGTCTATCTCTCTCTCTCTCTCTTTCTCTCTCTCTCTCTTCTTTCTCTCTCTC